TTTGTGTATGCACATTACTATACTGTGCAAGCCCTGCCAGGCCGGTAGGATGTCAGTGTGGTGAGTGTGTGTGGGGGTACCAGAGCGTAAGGGAAGTGACAAGAGTGTGAATTGTGTGGGCGAATTGTTCTCTCCCACCAGGTGATTGGTGAGTTCATAGCCTGGGCTCAGAGGGTAACGGGTTAGAACAGTGCTGGCCTAGCACTGATAGGAGAAGATGCAAGCTGTTTTTTAACAGGATGAGGTTAATTCTTCACTTCATGGAAATGTTTCAGCTCTTTCTGGAAAGCCTCCCTTTCACTTATACTTGCTTACACATCGTTTTGATTTTTAATTAAGACGTTAGGAGAAATAAATAAACTGGTGGCAGGGAGAGGAGAAAATATCTCTTCAGATTTTTTCTCTTTGACTCAGGTCAACTATTACTAGTCTCTAGCAGTTGTTCCATAATGATCCAAACTAGTCAGTTGGAACGCCGCTGCCAAGGGGTCAAGTAGACAGGAACTGCCTACTCTATTGGGCAGCGGGTGAAGGTTGGGCTGGGGGGAAGCCGTATAGGTCTTTGTATCAGAGGCAGCGGTGAGGTGGGGTGTGTGTATGTGAAAACAGCACCATAGAGCGAGAGCTGGGGGAAACCAGCTCCCCCCAGCACTGGCTCCTGCTACCCCCCTTCCTGCGGGTTCAATAATTCCATGCTTTCTTCCTTCTGCAATCCACAGAAAACTCAACAGTGATCCCACCTCAACACTCCTCATGACATCAGTGCACTACCCCTACCACTACACCCAACGAGGGAATTTAAAAAGAAATCACAGCTTCACATACACTGACCTGTGAAGCCACAAGTGGTAAATATACACCTGAAATGGAAATGATTGTTCCCCCCCACTTTCATTAAATGCTTTTTAAAAAATTCCTGATTCATGTTACAGAATAAAATGAATCTTTACTAGTTCACAACATAGGCTGGCTGATGCTCTCAGGTCTAACAGTAACTAGATTTCTTTTACTGAATTGTGCCATACAATCCATAACATCATTCACAAGCAATATTGTTAGGTACACTGACAATAAATACACAGCAATCACTACAAGATTCATTCTGAGCTACAAAAGAGGAAGGCAGATACACAAACTGCAATTATGGTTTTATTTCAAATCATGGTGACGTGTTACTCTAAGAGCAATCTCACCCTTTTCCTTCCATGTCACGATTCAATTCATTGCATAGTCTAAGTAGAATCTATTTCCTTAAGATTTGGTCATATACAACTGGTAGGCTACGTCTAGACTGGCATGATTTTCCGCAAATGCTTTTAATGGAAAAGTTTTCTGTTAAAAGTATTTGCAGAAAAGAGAGTCTAGATTGGCATGGACGCTTTTCCGCAAAAGCACTTTTTCCGGAAAAGCATCCGTGCCAATCTAGACGCGCTTTTGCGCAAAAAAGCCCCAATCGCCATTTTCGCGATCAGGGCTTTTTTGCGCAAAACAAATCTGAGCTGTCTACACTGGCACTTTTGCACAAAAGGACTTTTTTGCCCGAACAGGACCAGCATAGTATTTCCACAAGAAGCACTGATTTCTTACATGAGATCATCAGTGTTCTTGTGGAAATTCAAGCAGCCAGTGTAGACAGCTGGCAAGTTTTTCCGCAAAAGCAAGGTGCTTTTGCAGAAAATCTTGCCGGTCTAGACACAGCCATGGTCTTTGGGGAAGAAAGACAGTAGGCAGTATAATCTACTAATCAGAGCCTCTACAACATAGGTTCTCAAATTGGCTGTGATAACCCTTATTTTAACCATATTGCTAAAAGGTGCCCTGATTGAAGGGAGGAATGGAAAAGGTTGGGAACCATTGTTCCGGAGCATGGTGTTTGGGCACAGGATTCCTAGGTTAAGTCTGCATCTGCCATTAAACCACTGTGTAACAGTAGACAAATCACAACTTTTCCAATGCCATTGTTTCCCCACATTAAATTGTATTCAACTATTATTTCAATTATAAAGCACTCCAAGCTCCTAGGGTGATGTCAATGAAGCACATAATAAATTTATACCCACGCTCTATTTGCAACTCAAAACTGCATCTTATGTTGTCTAAATCTCATATTGTGTAGACTGCACATGTAATTCACCACTAAAAGGAAACAGATACTGATATTAAATTTCTCTTTAACTATGTAATCTACTTTTGACCTATTTGGTTTGTTGATGAGTTGTTGGAAAGAGAAGAGTTTTATCAAATACCAACTAATTTAGTCTAAACGATAGACATTATTCTAATTACTCTTTTAAAAGTGAACTATGTTACACTAAATTGTTTTAAGACTATTTTGAGACCACATGTGTTTGATGGTCCTTACATATATCTAGCTTCCACCTGTTTACATATGCTCTACACTATGTCTAAGATCTGGCCCTAATCCAATAGAGGGAGGGGATAACAGTGAGAGTGGTTTCAACTTACGATTTTCAAAGTGAGATAGGGAGTTATATGCGGTGTAAGGGCTGTACTTTTGTTGTAATGCAGGTTTTTTGTATTTGTATTTTTAAGTTATGTCAAAAGCACTTAAAACAAATGGATAGAGAACTTTTATTTAAATAATTATTCTCCAAGTCTTATGTAATGATTCAAAGAACTATAACAGGCATTGAACTACATTTATAATGCACATTACCTTCTTGTTCCTGAGAATGAAAAGAAAATTGGAGTGTTAAACTTCTTAACATTTAAATCCAAGCCAAAGCCCACTGGAGTCAATGGAGGCTTTTCTATTGGCTAATAAACCTTGGCTTAGGCACTAAAACATTTATTCAAAAGTAATACATATATGAAAAGGGCATTTTTAATACTCACTTTTAAAAATATATTTGCTATTATGTTAATGCATCCATAACTCTGGCGGGCGCTTGGGTCTCACCATTTCACTGCTGTTTCCAACCAGGGGTGTTCAAAGTACAGACCTTTGGCCAAACATCTGTGATATATGCAGTGGCAAGGAGCCAGGTTTATGTGGCACATTCAAAATCCTGCCACTGCATGACTACTCATCACAAAGTAAGCCAGCAAGAGGCATGACAGGAATCCTTTCAGTGCTCTGATCAAAACACTTAATGCCAAGAGTAGCAAATGTACCTGATGGATGATGGAACCACCGTTCCCCCTTTGGACATAGTGCGTTGGGCTATGCAGAATGCTAGCTGACCAGTACTTACTTGTGCACTAATAAGCAGCTTTGTACATACTTCTGTTAACTTATGCACCCTACATATCCAGGTGGGAAAGATTTCGCCTCTTGAAGAGAGGAAAATGAGGTGGATTGGAGTTGAACCTCTCTAGTCCAGCATTCCCTGGTACAGCATGATTGTAGTTAGCCAGATGTCCACTTATCATGGGTGTGGACAAGTTTTGCATGGTTCCATGAAGTTTGTTTACAGCCACCAGTCCTGGCTCTCAAGTGTTCTGTGCTGTTATTTAGCTCTAATTTACCCCTAAATGTCTTCTAAGAGCCCAGTAAGAGGTGGAAGTGTTGGTAGACACTATTGATTTCCTGTAGTTTAGCAAATTCTCTGGTTTAGCACTAGTCAGGTCCCAAGGGTGCCAGGCTAGAGAGGTTCATCGTGTACAAATTTATGCATCCTATGTATGCCAGCATATTCTTATTGCTCTATTTTATGAAATCTGAACAATGTTGTGAAAGTATAGTTGATGTACTTTTTATATAAATGACTTTCAATGGCTGTCTAACATGCACAGAACAGAGGCATATACAAATTTACATTTGGCCCAAAATTCCTACTGAAAGTAGTTCAGCAAAAATGTTAAAATCTATTGTTTTCAGAAATGTGACAATTAAAAATTGTATGTTCAAGGGCAGCGTTCAGATTATGCATGCAATGTTAAATGTGGCTCATGCGTAATATTTATACGGAGTTTCCCAAGTTTATTTTCAACAAATGAGAATTTAAAAGAAATGTCATAATCTGGAAATTAGCACAGGGACACCACCTTAGTGCAGACTTCAGAAGAGAATCCCTCTTCTATGAATTGGAGAAACTTTGGAGCACTTGTCTTCTGAACCCCTTGCCCAGCCAAAGCAGAGCCTGCAAACGTCGTGAGATCAGCATGTATTCCAGTTGCTGCAGACCCAATGGGAAGCCCAGACGGAATGCTCCCCTTCCTGTGCTCCTTAGTTTTGGCTACTGGAGCTCCTAGATGGCTGCAGGAGTTTTCACTCTGTGGCTACTGTGGCTGCAGTATTCCCTGACCACTCTTCTGCCCAACACCAGCTTCCACATCCTCAAGACTCCTTTCTCAAGTTCTTCTATCCTTCCCTTTCTTAGGACTATTCCTTAACCCCTTATAGAGATATATGCACTGTGTTAGCTCATTTTCAAAGTTCAAAGAAAAACAAAATACTACAGCCACAGTCCAGGATTAGAGCTGGGTTAAAATGACCAACATTTTGCTTCATTAGCACTGGCATATGCAAATTTACATTTGGCCCAAAATTCCTACTGAAAGCAGTGCATGTATTAATATTTTGTATAATCAACGAAGACATTATCATCAAGCAGTTAGATATATGTGCACAGCACTAAGACTAGTGGCTATAAAAAAAGATTGCAGATTTCTGTCCAGGTCATGTTCCATCCACTGCACCTAGAATACCAACCAGCCATACATGCCCAAGATTACATGCCCAAGATTACATGATCACCATTTCACCCCCACTCCACAATCTCCAGATACAAAGAAACTTTTAAAACAGTAAACCAGCAACCCCATCTTTCATATAATCACACAAAATCTGGAGTAGATACATCATTTGGTTTGAAATGACAAAAATGAAAAACCAATTCAGAGTGAACAAAGTATGTCACAACACAGTATTTTGTAAAACAACACAAGAATAACAAAAGAGATTTGCCAGAAAGAGACAAGAATATGCTAAACAACAAGGAAAATGGACCCTCCCCCCCCCCCCCCCCACCTAAGAAGGGGCAGGGAGAAGGCATTAATTTATTGATTCAATGGATGTTGAACAGGCAGATTCCCATTAACTCTCTGGCACTCACGTTATTTGCCAGTCAAGTGAATATTATACACAAACATGAATGCTATGTATTTTTTCAGTCTGCTATTTCACAGTCATTGAGGTTACTATTTTCCAAGTAAGGACGGTTGGTCTTGACTTCCCTAGCAGCTGATTAACGCCAGTCCTTAACTGACCTAAGGAACTGTTGTTCAGCAATACAGGCATTTCCTTCTCAAAGGCTTCTCATGTTGCCTTCGCTATTTTCCATCATCTCTGTCCTCATTGATAGAGTAAAACTCAAACATAAGCTTCTTGTAAAGCAGCAGAGAGGTCACCACTAACTTTATAAGCCACATCACCAGTGTGGAACAGTTCCTCTTGCCCCTCATCCCTTTTGCAAACCCCATTACAAACATGCTCCATTTCACATGCTGATTAGTCTCTCAGAGTATGTCTACATTGTGGTAAAACACCTGTGGCTCTCCGGGGTCAGCTGACTTGGGCTTATATGGATTGAGCTGCTTGGTTATAATATTATCACACAAATGTTGACGCTAGGGCCAGACACCGGACTTTAAAGCCTATGTGGAAAGGTCCCAGAGCCCCGGCTGCAGCCTGAGCTTGAGAGCCCACGCCCTGTGAGACCGAGTCAGATGACCAGGGCCAGTCAAGGGAGTTTTATTGCAATGCAGACATCCCTTTCAGACACTGTCACAAAACAAGTGACAAAATATTTTTGTGAAGGAGGCTGTCTTTAACAAGCCAGCACCTGCTTGTGACCAGTTACAGGCTTGCTGGGTAAAACCTTTTGAAAACTGCTCCTCTGCGGGCTATAGTGGGTAAGTGAACCTCCACTCCGAAGGGGGCGGAGGGGAATAAAACTCACAAGCATCTTTGCTCTTTGACTCAGACAGCAGCTGAGCTGATCCTTGCCAGCTCTCTCAAACTGCAGTATGAGGGAACTCTACAATTTAAATATTCAAACTCTGTGTGCCACCAACATTTAACCTCACATTCCAGGGTGGGGTTGGGCGTGGAGCTTGGAACATTCCAAAAAGCATTCCACCAATAAGGTCTCAGGAGGTAGTCTCCAACTTGGAAGCATCCAAGCTAAAAGACTCAGAAGAAGAACACTTTTACATTCCCATTCATGTTAGAAATAAACAGAGTACATAAAGGGATGGAATGGGGATAGATTGCTCCCTACGCTGAGATCCTGTACAGTTAATCCACACATTTGGCAGGGTATTGTTACCTATATTTTCTGATCCTAGTGTCAAGACTTGAGCACGGCTGTTTGTATTTTTTTTAATCTTTTGACAGAAAAGAACAATTGCTTCATTAAATTCTAAGTACAATTTAGTAGTGACATTCATTTAACAAATATTTACAACAGAGAATAACTTCTGTCAATATTATCTATCATATTCATATAGCATGGCCACACTAAATTAAGCAGACAATTTCTTATGATTGGTGGTAAATTTTTTCTTAAAATTCAAGCTGTGGTCTGGTTTGCCATCTTATGCAAGAATATAGTAGTGCAGAAGCTGTACTGCTAAGATACATTAGTACATGACCTGGCATTTGCACAAAGAACATCTGCCATCTCCAGTTTATATAAGGAATACACAAAAAGAGATCCATTATTTTAGCCAAGAGAGAATTCAGAAAATATAAATGACAAGTTCCATTATGGATGAGCCATGGTCAGGTTTTATTAATTCACATATAATTTCTTTTTATAACAAAAGATAAAATTCCAATTCAATACTTTGAATAGAACAGTCTCTAAAAGGAATTTTATTCCCCCCAAAAGAACCTCTTTTAAGATCAAGAGCAAACCTCAGATCTGCTACATGCAGGGGGCACTATCACAGATGTATCTAGTCTGAATTCAATGATGAGAACGGTGCAAAAAGCAACACAACAGGGTATAGTGGGTTAGAAGAAAAGTAGCGGAAAAGCAACTAAGTCTCGTCCGTGCTGCCCTGCATACTAGAAGGGTGTGAACAGCAGTGTGCACCAAAATGCTGCACTGTAACTCTCCTGGGTGGATGTTGCAGGCATGAACTAAAAGGCTCTCTGTTCACATTAACATAGTCCTTTTCAAAAAGAAAGATATTAATGCAAACTAGGAACCTTTTAGTTTGTATCCACAGAGTGCACATAGCGAAGTTACAGCATAGACACTTTGGTGTGCACTGCTGGTCATGCCCTTGAAGTCTAAACCATGGGGCAGTTAAAGAACTCTCTTCAAAACATGTTTAAGGCTTTGTCTGTTTGCATTGTACAGCTGTTTACATTGGTGCACAATGGGTGTTTTTTCACACCCTTGAGCAAGAAAGGTACAACAAAGTAACCTGCCAGTGTAGATAAACCCTTACAGATTCCCATTAGTTGCTTTTCCTGACCTACGGTGAGGATCAAAGGGAAGCATAAATCACACTTTGTATGCGCCCATTTTCTGACCATTTTTAATTTATATGAATGCCTAATTTTAGCCTGAATTATTCATTCTAGCAAAGCAGCAACTCACTTTCTTGTTCATAGATGCTATACCACTTATCTTACCATAAATATATATTATTCAACTAACTGTAGTTACTTATATAATTGTTATACTAGATAAATAAATTGATGATCTGTGATCAGGCAGTTATTTAAACACTAAGTACGGTCAGCTAAACAATTTAACATATTCATTTTAAATGACACTTCAGTTTGATTCAGCCAAATTACAATATATGTTTTGTAGTTGCACACTAAAAGCACTGATTGTATTTTCTTTGGAAGTTGAATTAAGATCCTCTGATCTTCTATTACTTCCTTGTGTTTAATTTTTTACATTCACTCTCTCTCATAAGAGTCCCTTTCCCACCAAGCCCAAATTGATTCACAGAAATGTAACGTAAAAGCATTAACATGCATCTGCATGCTGACCACCTGTGGTTTCCTTTATAATTCTATTTCCCAGCAGAGATATTTACACTAGGAGAAGTGCACCTTGTGCAGGTGTCACACAGGGCCAATTGCCAGGACAAGAAAGTGGTGTGAAAGCACTGCAACACAGGCTATGGCCCTTAGGCCTCCATCCTGAAAAGTTCCTCACCTTCAACTGCAAACCTTCTGCTAATGACTTCTCCAGGCACTGCAAAGGAAGTCAGTACGGGGGAGGGGAGTGATGAAAGCAGCAGTGAGACTAAGGCGCACGTGAGTATTGTGCAGGCCCAAAGCGCCATAAATTTCCTGGCTTTAAAGTTACTATTATTTTTGACACGCAAACACAATATGACCTAAAATTATGTCACAAGAGGTTTACATTTTACTTATGGAGGAGGACAAGCATGTGTATGCAAAGGTATCATAAGGCACACAGACCCTTTGAATAAACTAAGATTCAGAGGGAGAGAGAAGTGAGGCAGCTGAATTTCAAAGGCTGCTCCCTAATGACAGGATGTCCTTTGGCTTTCCAATCCCTCAGCCTCCTGAGGGGAATGTCATAGCAAATGGGAACGAAGAGACCACATTAAGGTGTAACTGTTGAAAGTCACCTTGAATCTACTGTCAGCCAGCACCCTCCTCCAGGGACATAACACTTCAGGACACACATTTTATTTAAACTAAGAGAATCAAGACATTAGTTTGGGTCAGACTTGGGGGTGGGGGTGAGGGCAGGGAGGGGCGATACACACATTCTCCCAGAGGTGCAGGATTTGTAGTTTGCACTTTCCATTGAGGCAGTTTCTTCCTTGGAAGTGGATGGTAGCATAGATGGTGATTCCGCAACATGCCATAAGCTTTTCTTCTAGGCAGTTATGTTTGGTGATCCAGAAGAGCTCCAGTGGACTTCACAGGTATCCTAGTTATGCCTTCCCACACAACTGAGGATGCAGAGCTGGATTGCAGACAATTTGTGTTGCTTCTTATCACTGTGCTTTGCAACCTGCATTCTGCCAGCAAAACTCAGGGAATGAACCAGATTCTGTTAATAGTATTTGCATGACCATTCCTCATAACTGCCTAAAAACAGCCTTTACAGAAGCTTCTGCTTCAGACATGACTCTCAGTGGGGAAATGGTTATTCCTAAAGTTTATGTTTTATTAATTGGACTACAAAGTATGCCACTGCTCTGAAGTAAGTGTTCTGTGACTAAAATCATTGTGTGAAACTGGAACATTTAGTTCTGAAAGAAGCTTTTAAAACTATTTTTACTGCAGTCTACAAGGTAGGAAATGAACTGCAATTATTTTTCAGTTAAATGCAAACTATGCAGATTTATTACAATTCAGATATTTGAGTAGTACTTGTTTTAATTAGCATGTACACCTTTTTTATTTAAAAACTCTAAACATAATCCCAGTTAAATACAGCTGTACCATTAGAAAACAATGGCTTAGTGTAGACACCTCCATTTAAAATAAAGACATTTGTAATTGGGAAGCCATTTTGGTATAGTTCATCACCAATGAATTGTGTTTCTAATATCTTCTTCATACAAAATCCTCTAGGGATCATAACACAACCTGTTATAACTTTGTTACCGGTATTTTCAGACAAGAGCTGACCATTTCTAACATACTTATCCCTGTTAATGGAGCCACAACAAAACTCCAACAGTTGGAAACAATCTATTAAAAACCTCTCTCTTGTGCCTTTAAAATTCTTCTTTCTACTTATAAAATATATTAAACAAAAACACCTCAGAAGTTTAATTGAAAATATTTGCTATTGAAACAGAATTTAAGATGGGATCATCTTCTCATTCAGACTATTAATTTATCCTGTCTGAAAGGCACCAAAGCAAAGAAGAGAAAAAACATTTACCCAGTACAGTAGCTTTTCAGAATCAGGCAGTTTATCTGTCTCCGACTGAGTCTAGATGAAACGTAACAGCAGGATATAAAAAGGGAGTGAACTGGTAGCTGCACCGTTGTGGAATGTTTGCTTTTCATGCTATCGTGGCACTTCAGTAGAGCTGAAGTCAGAAGTTCTCTCAGTAACATGAGCTCTTTTATGTGCGGCCTCAACAAGTAGGTCATCTTCATGTTCTTTGTTGTTTAATAGCTCCTGGTTCTCTCTCTTGCGTTTGTTAATCAGGTGGTTTTCTCCCTCATTAAGCTTCCCCTCTGGGAGACCCAATGTCCTAAGACAGACTATAGCTGCAGCCTGTTCTGCTAGCTTCTTTGACTTGTCCCTGAAGAGTAAGACAGAGCACAGGTAAAAGCAGATGCAAAGCTTGCATACTGCCAAGCACAGTGTTGCATGCCTGAAATAATCCATTTCCTGTCTCTGCAATACTTATGACAGCCTAACAGATGGAAGACAAAAGCTTAGTTCCAGAGACATATTCACATTTTTTTAGATGCTTGTGTTGCTGTAAACCTGGGGGGGATGGGGAGGGAAGCTATCATTTTGATGGGGGAGGGGCGACAACGCCAAGATTTTGTTAAGTGGTCAAGGGCTGCACTTTTCTGTGGAGGAGGTTTGGGATCTAGGAAAGAGGTTGAGTGCAGAAGGGAGCTCGGGGTAGGGGAATGGGGTGCAGGAGAGAGTATGGGGTCTGAGAGGGAGTTTAGGTGAAGAAAGGGGTTGTGACCTGAAGCAAGGGACTAGGGTGCAGGGTTTGGAGCGGGGTATAGGTGCAGAAGAGGTTTCTTACCTGGGGGAGGTATGTAGGAATGGGCGCAGTATCTGGGAGGGAATTGTGACCTGGGGCGCAGGAGAGGAGGATACAGAGAGTTTAAGTGGGTCAAGGGATTGGGGTGCAGGGCTCGAGAGAGGGAATAGGCGCGGGAGAGGACTCTGGTCGGGAGGTGCTTACCTAAGCAACTCCTGGTCAGCAGCACTCTCAGGCAAGCTTCACTACCTACCAGCAGCCCCAGACTGCTCAAGTGGCTGGCTGTTCCATGTGGCTTTCTGCACTGCGGGGGTGGGGGGAAAGCTTCACTTGCTGCCCTTGTACCCAGCAAAATCTGTCAGATCCTCTTGGCTGTAAACCAACCACCTGCCCCAGGTCATAACCCACTCCTGCATCCACACTCCAAGATCCTGCCACCACTCCTCCACTCCAATCCCCTGGAATTACAACCCTCTCCCCTTCACCCAAACTCTCCCCCAGATTCCACACCTCCCTTCTTAACCCCTATTTCCTACCCCAAGCTCCTTTCTGCACCAATCTCCAACTCAGACCCCATACTTCCTCCATTAATATTGTAAAAAAGTATGGCCTGCAATCACTTACTAGATTCTTGGAGTGGTCTCCCGCAAAAAATTATTGCACACCCCTGTACTATATGGAACCCTAGGTGTATCTGCCTGAGAAACTCAAACGTTTCTATGATCAATAGACTCTTCTATAAAATATTGTTGTGGAGTCTTAGTGCATCAATTGATGCAGCTACTGATTCAATATGTGGCTTCCAGCAAGACACCTGATCTCTTGCTCTCACTTTTATTTGTAAAATAAAATTTAAAAGTTGCTATCTAGTTGCCTTTATGTACTATTTCACTTTATTTCATGTATTCATTGAGTTACTGAATTTATTCATAGTGCAATAAGGCAAAATATCTACAAAATATGAATTTGTAAATATTCCTAATTTGGACTAAGGGACCAATCTAGCTCCCACTCTAATCAATGGAAAAACTCCTCCCGTCTTCAAAGAGAGAAAGAGAGCAGAAAAGGTGGCTCCCAGTAAACACATGGAAAAATCTGTGCAAATCAGAGGACAAAATGCCTAGGGGCAGTGGAGTGAAATAAATCTGACTTGTTATACAAATATAAAGATATTTTATAGTCAATGTATTTAATTATAGTATGTCTGTTTCATTGTATCTCCTATATTGTAATTTACACCTGTTTCTGTTAAAATATACTTTATAAAACAACTGAATTAATGCAATCTGATATTCGTTATAAGGTTAAGCACAAGACTTTGTTCAAAGAAACAGATACATAACATTCTAAATACTGGGATTAGTATAATCAGAATGCTGCTGATATGCAACTAGCTTTTTCGCTTTATGAATCCAGCAAGTTCTGTCACCGTTCTGGAGCAAAAGTTGGTAATATTGCCATTTACTTTCAAAAATGTTAATGTTAACTGACCCAAAGGAAATAAAAAACAGTATTGGCTAGAACCAACAGAAGAATTCTTCTGATCAGTTATTCATTCAACTCTAATTGCCAACAGATTCTTTGCTCTCCATCTTGAAAAAACAGAAGTCTTGATGCTGGGTAAAGGTTATTGTCATGAGAATGGTCAAGTTTCCCCTAAAAAATTCCTTACTTCCTGAGGTAATTTTATGAAAATAGTGGGTAAGATAAGGAGTATGGCATCACTTTTGCAAAGCTTTCCATGCTAAGCACATAGCTGAAATGGTGGGGAACAGTTTTTCCCAGTAGCACAATTTAAAACTCTTAATGTTAGAGATCTTTGCCTTATTTGAGGCCACTCTGAGGACTGTCTTAGGGGAAATATACGCCCACACACCATTTACCTTTTAAGGATCTCATTACTAGAAACAGTCTTTCTGATATGAAGGGCGAAGGGCCCTTGACTACGGAAATCTTTCCCCCTTGGCACATGTCTCAGTTAACCGCAGAAACCTTTTCCAAGTTGTTTCCTTCAAAAGTTATAGCTTTAAAGTAAAGTTTACTTAGTATTTTTCCTCTCACTGTTAGTGTTGCCTTTCCAACAATACATCACAAAAGCACGTCAGAGAAGACTTACCATAAAGTTGATCTATATTTTTGTTCAGCTACTGTAACAACTGAACAGAATAATTTATCTAGTGATCTTTGAACCTAGAGAAAGGAGAGATTAAAGATATAAGTAACTTAATATAAACAGCTATATTTTTTAAAAAAGCAATACCACAGAATACTTCCTAGTCTCGGTTTTACTGTAGGACAGGGATGAGCAATAATTTTTGATGGGGACACGTCAAGATTCTGATAAGTGGTCGAGGGCTGCACTTTACTGTGGAAGGAGTGAAGGGTCTGGACAGAGACTGGGTGAAGGAGGGGGTTATGGCCTGGGACAGGAGATTGAGATACAGGGTCCAGGAAGGGCTATGGTTGCAGGTGAGGATTCTGGCCTGAGGGAGGGATGTAGGAACAGGGGCAGAGCCTGGGAAGGAGTTGTGGCGTATATGTCTGCACGTGCATGCACAGAAGGCTTAGGTGGTAACCTGGAGCAGGGACTTGGGGTACAGGAGGGTGTGGGGTACCAGAGACAGTCTCTGGCTGGAAAGTGCATACCTAGCCAGCTCCCAGCCAGCAGCTCAGTTGCCAGCAGCCCCAGGATCAAAGTGACTGGTTGTTCCATGTGTGTTTCTGCACCATTTACTGGGGGGTGGGTGGGTAGGAAGACTTCATGCACTGTCCCTGTCCCCAGCACAACCTCCCAGTTTCCACTGGCAGGAAATTGTGCTGGGGGTACAGACAGCACACAAAGCCTCCCCTTGCCTTCTCCCTCTCCATGGTGCAGAGAGCCACATGAAGCAGCTAGCCACTTTGAGCAATGTGGTGCTGCTCAGTGCCCAATGGTGGGCCTTGGGCTGGATTAAAAAGCTTGGTGGGCTGCATCTGGCTCCCAGGCCGTATCTTGCCTGTCCCTGCTCTAGGAGCATGTAACACAATTAACATTTTAAGCCTTCACACTTCAAAATTCATTATTTAGCTGTTTTGAAATAAGGCTGGTGTAGATGCTCCCCAGTGCTATTTTGAAATAGCCCCTCACCAGGGCAAATCTAAATTATTCCTCCCCAGAGCCTCCTGGGGCTCTAAATGAGAAAGCATATATACATTAGGGAAGCCTGCCTCAGACTAATTTTGAGGCTTCCCTGCAGCGTAGACGTGCTATACTGAAATAAGCCGTTTTGGAATAACTATTCCGGAATAGCTTATTTCGAAATTGATATGCAGTGTAGATGTAGCCTTAGAAACCAGATTCTATAAACACTATCTACTTGGCATAGCACTTATGGCATGGTCTGCTGGAATTATGAAATCAAGATGTTCTTTTGTAACAGTTATTAGCTCTCTTTTTGTAAACATTCTTTTCTTGTTTATCTACCACAGCAGTCGCAAAAATTGCTGCTGCCCAGACAGAAAAGAAAAAGCAGATTTGTGACATCCTAGATGACATAAGCAAGAATGAACACAATTCTAGGAATTCAGTGGTGCTGCATTCTAATATTCCACGTCTCATTTAGCTTTTCAATATTAGATATAGTGTAATTTATCATCCCTTTCATAGAATCATAGAATCATAGAACTGGAAGAGACCTCAGAAGGTCGTCAAGTCCAGCCCCCTGCTCTAGGCAGGACCAATTCCAACTAAATCAACCTGGCCAGGGCTTTGTCAAGCCAAGACTTAAACACCTCTAGGGATGGAGACTCCACTACTTCCCTAGGTAACCCATTCCAGTGCTTCACCACCCTCCTAGTGAAATAGTTTTTCCTAATATCCAACCTGGACCTCTCCCACCGTAACATGAGACCATTGCTCCTTGTTCTGCCATCTGTCACTACTGAGAACAGCCTTTCTCCATCCTCTTTGTACTGAAATAAGCCGTTTTGGAATAACTATTCCGGAATAGCTTATTTCGAAATTGATATGCAGTGTAGATGTAGCCTTAGAAACCAGATTCTATAAACACTATCTACTTGGCATAGCACTTATGGCATGGTCTGCTGGAATTATGAAATCAAGATGTTCTTTTGTAACAGTTATTAGCTCTCTTTTTGTAAACATTCTTTTCTTGTTTATCTACCACAGCAGTCGCAAAAATTGCTGCTGCCCAGACAGAAAAGAAAAAGCAGATTTGTGACATCCTAGATGACATAAGCAAGAATGAACACAATTCTAGGAATTCAGTGGTGCTGCATTCTAATATTCCACGTCTCATTTAGCTTTTCAATATGCCATTCAATGTGCCATTAGCCTTCTTGGCTACAAGGGCAAACTGTTGACTCATATCCAGCTTCTCATCCACTGTAACCCCCAGGATCCTTTCTGCAGAACTGTTACTTAACTGGTTGGTCCCCAGCCTGTAACTATGCTTCGGATTCTTCCGTCCCAAGTGCAGGACTCTACACTTGTCCTTGTTGAACCTCATCAGATTTCTTGTGGCCTCCAATTTGTCTAAGTCATTCTGGACCCTATCTCTGCCCTTAAGCGTATCTACCTCTCGCCCCAGCTTAGTGTCATCCGCAAACTTGCTGAGGGTGCAATCCATCCCCTCCTTTCCACAGAGACAAAAGGAAAATTCAGACAAGCAGTTCACACATTTTTACAGGAAAATGGCATTTTAAAAAATGCTATTAGTGTATTTAAACATGTTTATAATCTGGACATAAGACCTGGTGGCCCACCGAAGTTAAGACAGTACTTCTTTTGTCTATACAGGAAAGAGTTCAAATGTAGGCTCAGTGAAATATAAGTAATAAATGTGATAGTTTCATTCATATCCCCAGCTCTGTGTATTACAAAATTACCTCACAATTGACAATTTCCACTTGAGGCACCTACTCGAGGGGAAGGGGTAGTGAGAAGAATTTCAGGTCAGAATTGAGATGCACGGAATTGTAAGGGAGAAGCTTCCAATACTGGGAATTCCTCTCTATCATCAATAAGAAAGGAATTAACTAATTTTATACAGAAAAGTAAAGGCCACTTTCAGTGGATTTTTAAGGGAGGTCAAATTTCACAACTAAAGAGGAAAGGTTCTACGCTGCAGAAATGTGTTCTAATTTTTAATTTGTTCTAATTCTCTGTAAATTATGTGGGCGTGTCCATTCTAAGCAGTCTAGCTACGGTATCAACAAAACTCCAGTTTGAAAATAAAAAAAGCATTTTAAACTTTGAGATAATCTTGTTTCAAATCAATCAATTCACAGTTTCCTGATAATCCTCAGTAAAACTATGACATAAATGTTTTGCCTAAGGATCTGCCTTATACTTTTGCTGAGAAACGGAGAGACTCACAGTTTCATAAACAGGTTGAGGGTGCTTCTCTTTCCTGCACCATTCCAAGAGATACATTTTGGGAGTAATCTGTGGTGGATAGTCTCGCCTAGGCAGAAAAAGAAAAAAATGAAATACAAATAATCCCACAATTTGTAATGAATAAGTTTGTACAGAAAATGACTATTGGACAGACATATGTTAACTGAGACAAGCAATCTCTCTATCAATGTAGGATTGATTACGATCATATTTTTACTAGCTTTTTTTCCCAGTCTAATTTTAAAACTCTCAAGTGATGGAGCTCCCACCCCTCTCTCAGATCATTGTTCCATTAATACATTTTTAAATTAGTTTCTAAAATCTAATATTACATATTGGTTCCTTACTAACAATCTCCCACCTTCACTAAGTGCAGTTATACAAGCAGTGACAAGGTACTTACTGATAGGAAAGTTTAAATAACCTGCATTCTGCTGAGTTTCTGACTGATACTGACAAGCCACAATACACGTTTTTTTTGACCACTTACCATTTTTCTTGATAATTACCCATAAACATTTTCCAATAGTGATTTAAAAACTTTTTCGGGTATTAATTTATTATTAAAAAAAGGTTAGGTTAGAAGAATGAGTTTGGTTCTATAATAAAAACAGTAGCATTTCCAGATACATAGGAAAGGTAGACATTGCTTCAACTGTTTAAGAGGGAGTATAGTTCCTAGGGCATAGGCAGAAAATATAAATACTACAGAGATATTGTGCTCAATCTTTAAGGAGTCATATTATACTCCAGCTGAGTTTGAATGCTTAGAGTGTATCTTTGAAAAGCATCTTATGCAATACCCTTAACCTGTGGTACAAGACAGACAGGTTATTCAAGATGTTGAGTAAACAAAGTAGAACAAAAACTATTTTACAGTATCACTTTTAAATTAGGCAATCTTAGATAAATAAAAATGTTTACAAACTGTGATTCTCGCAGTTCTTCAATTTAATGTCTCAGGAAATACCTGGAGACATCTTCTGAAGATTCCCTGTACATATTAAGGAAAAATAATGTGTTTGCTCCTGCAGAGCACATAGGTTTAAGAGAAGTAGTTTCATGAGAATGAATCACTAACCAGATACAGCTTCAAAAATATTTTCTTAGAAGAAAAAGCATTTTGAGGCTATTTATTACTATGCACTTCGTGCATGTGTCATCAGAAAAAAATACAGTATTTAGAAAAGTATATATCTGAATTAAATTTCATTACAGATAATTAAACTCTATAAAGTTTTAACACAAAAAACAGCTTTGTTTAGATCAATGTTCACATTCTTTTATGTGTGCCTGACATTTCTTATAATCAGTTTACATACTGTACTATTTAATATATGAGTTGATATGGATAGAGTCTCCTCATACAAAGTTTAGCCAAGAAGGTTCTCTAACAGGGGTTGGCAACCAATGGCTTGCGAGCCAAATACGGCTCAGTACAGCACTTAATAGGGCTCTTTTGGCCATCCCCGACTGTTAAGTTCCGTCTAGGGCAGTGGTCCCCAACGTGGCGCCTGCGGGCGCCATGGTGCCCACCGGGGCATTTATGTACACCCGCTGAGTGACCAGGGCTAGCCCAAGCCATTCTTGTGCCCCGAGCCCTGGGCATGGCAGGACTGGCTCGAGCCATTCCTGTGCCCTGGGCAGCGGACGTGCGACGCATGCGCGGCGCTGCCCCATGGTGCGCTGCACACCTTACAGCTGCAATCGGGCATGCGGCACCTGATTGCAGCTCAAAGGGGCGCTGCGTGGCCAGGCGCATGGCACCCCTTACAGCTGCTATCAGCCCCCCCCCCCCAATAGGTTGGCGCCCTGGGCAGCTGCCCAGCTAGCCCCCATCTTTAATCTGGCCCTGCTCACGGCGCATGTATGGCCCCACCCCTGGATACATGGCATGTGAGCGGCACTGCCCCCAGGCGCCCGGAAGCCCTAAAAGGTTGGGGACCACTGCTCTAGGGCATGTACCTGCATGGCTGTGCACAAAGAATTCTAAGTCCGCCCACCTCCTTCCCAGAGGCGTGCAGCAGCACTCACTTTCCTACTGGATCTGGAAGTTAAGTAGTGTGGTGGGTTCCAGGAGGGCCACATGGCAAGCAGCAGCCCCATGTGCCTTGGACAGATGCACCCCAGCTCCAGCTCTGTCAGCCGTAACATGGAGCCGCATGGTGAATTGCTGCCCCATGTGCCAAATCTGGAGCTGGGCCACGGTGCCATGGAGCAGCAACCACCAGCCCTATCCTCAGTTTCAGCCCTGCCCCTGCATGGTGGCTACCCCGCTGATCCCGGGGTGCGGCCACATAGTGGGCAGCTTGCTCTGTGTGCCAGACTAGGGCCAGGGCTGTGGTGCAGTTGCTCCTGGAGCAGGTTTTGTATTCACCATCCTTTTAAAATCCTTATTATTTTGTCCCAGCAGATGTCTCCGTTTCCTGTAAGAACCTACAGGGCCACTCAGATTTCCACTGTATGTAACATCTCAGCAAGCTAGTAGTGATGACGGGGAGTCCAATTTAGGATGAAAATACTCCACAACACAAGTGAGCTTGCTCCAAGCTGTGACAACCGGCCTCGGTCTGTGAGTACAAGGTTTCATTTATGCTATTATTAATCGCCCTGTCAATTATCAATAATATTAAGTTGTATATTTTCAGTCATGCAAATAGGCATTCTGATACGACTCTTTGTTGACCACTTGTTCTGAATTTTGATGCAGTTTGTCTCTTTGGTTTGAAAAGGTTGCTGACCCCGTTCCATAATATTTGAATTCCCACTCCTACCTATAAAATCTTTGTCAGGTACCAAGATCAGACAAAAGTATAACTATAAGTTCAAAAAGAAGGTGAAGAATGTACTTTGCATGCTTACTTGTCAAATCTAACAGACATTTTTATCACATCTGTGTCTTCCATCTGGTCATCATCATCTTGTGTCTTGGCCTTTAGCACCTTCTTAGCTTCCAGAATAGCTGTTGTTTCTTCATAGAAATGTCCCATTTCAAAGACTTCACTATTTAAAAAGTGACTTCTATTAGCCTTAAGAGTCAATCTGAGTGTCCTCACACCACATTTCAATAAGTTAAAATATTCTTTCAAATAAGTTACATGTGCTTGAAAAACTAAGGGGAGGTACAGTTAAATGCTGCCAAGTAATGCTATCTAGAGTCATGGGGTTCATGACTCATGTTCATCATCTCTCCTTTTCTTCTTGCAAAGTTTGCTCCGCTTTCAAGAAAAGTTCATTATTCTACCTGCTGACCTAAAGACTCAACCTGGGATCTGAAAGCCAAATCAAAAGCATCACCAAAACCATCACAGCAATTTCAATTAAGTTACAACTTTTACAGCTGCATAAGCCAATAAAGAACCCAGCTCTCTCCCCCAGACCTTTATCAGCTGTGAAGAGCTAGTAGGAACAAAAAAGTAATGAACACCATCAAAAGAGTAAACAGATGAAAGTGTGAACACACAGAGAAAGCGGGTGATGTCATTTTTAGAGTCCTTTTTCTGATTAACATTTTATGCATTAGACATCTCATAGGCATAACTACACTGACAAAACTGGAATCTATAATTTCCCACAGGATGTAGTAACTCTGAAAGCTACAGGGTATACAGTATTTAGTCATTTTAAACAGGTGGGGTTAGGCAATTCAGTAGTAAAAATGCATGTCTTCTGTGTATACTGCAGTCTCCATTGTTAGTGCTACTATCAGTAAATTATTATGTAAGTGAGGATGTTCATAAGAGTGAACAAGGCCATCCATATATGCTGAGCCACGGAAACTCTCTTCTGACCTTAATATATCAGTGCACAATCTCACACTCATTGAGAATGAAAACTCTAGTGTGCCTAAACTTTTACAGGTGTCAATTTAACATCAACACTACAAGGCAGCAGGGTTAAATCACATTACTATCTACACAGATTTCTTTTTTTTTTATATTTTAAAAAGAATGAAATGTTCTTCAGTTATCTGATAATTAAACAGACTGTTCAAAACATTGCTCCCCAGGCCTATGGTCCTGCGAAGACAGCTCTGTGAAACTGTTTCCTGATCAATTTCTTTCAAAGTGTACAAAATGCACAAAGTCTATGAGCCATATTTTCCAAATGGCACAACATTGTTCTTACACACAGTGATGGTCTGTGTTTAATTATTTCATTTTTATAAACTGTGCCTATAGTTTCCATATATGCATCCAAAATTAAACAGTTTTTCTAAGAGCTCCTCCCTCCTCTGATTAGGTAAACTTTCCCCTTTCTTTTCCTCTGCTCCTACTTATGTAGGAAGCCATTAAAGAGGTAACAGCCCCCTTTTCTTCTGGTCAAGACACATTAGGTACAGATGCATTGAGAACATTCTGGGCTAACACTGTCTCTCATTGCTGTGGAAGCAGCATGCCAGACAACCAAAAAGAAAGGGAGGTAAAAGGTTACTCTGCAGATGTAAAACAGCATATTGCAAACAGAATTATATTACGACAGTGGTAGAAAAAATTCCCTCTGAATTAGCTGAGTAAAGGGAAAGTTCATTTGTCTGATATCAGCAGAGAAAATGCTGGCACCTGCTGGAGACCTGAACCTGGAGTAGATGAACTACAGGTCTGATTTGGTATAGCAATTCCTATTCCCTATATATAATACTTACCAGATTTCTTGAGTAGACTGTGCAGCATGCAATTTCTTTCCCTCTGTGCTTTCTAACTGTTCTCTTAACATCTGACACAGACAGTACTTTGTGTTAGTGTAGTGATTATCATATCGCACTGCCTGAAGGAAAGAGACATGTAATATGTAAAAATACACTAACAAAATAACAATTCCTATTACCTAACCTTTCACATGTTTCTAGCTGCATCTCTTAAATAGTTTAAGGAATGTACAGTACAGTGTACACCAGGGGTGGGCAATAAGTATCCTGTAGGCTAGACACGGCTCGCCAGGGATAGCTCCAGGAGGACCACAAGTGCTTTATTTATCTGTGCATTCACAGGTACAGGACTTGCAGCTCCTTTTGGCCACAGATTGTCATTGCCAGCTAATAGGAGCTACAGGAAGTGGCATGGACTGAGACACAGCTTCTTACGGCTCCCATTGGCTATGAAGGGCGATTTACAGCCAATGGGAGCTGTGAATGGCCATACCTGCAGATGCAAAGGTAAAAAAAGTGCCAACAGCCTGACAGGGGCTAACCACAGCAAGCAGCCTCCAACTCATGGCCCACCCCTGGTGTACACAGTTCTCAGTTAAGTCAGTATTCAGTTATTAATAAAGTCCAGAAGTGTTCTGGAGTTTTTTTTCCTGGACAAAATCTGAATTTTATTGTGTTTTATACACTTGTGAAAAACAAGAAAGTTGACAAGCATTTTACACACATTTTACCTTTCTACTCAAATTGATGGATTTTACACTTGTGGGTACAGTTGAAGTGCCACTAATTTGATTTTGTCTATTTCCATTTGTCATTCCTTGATTTTATCCTCAAGATTTAAACAGATCAAAGTTGTTTGGGGGAGGATGTATAAAAATAAATTCAGCTTGCACTTACTGCAAATACAGCATTGTTAGCCAAGGTTCCAATTTAGCAAGATACTTATGTGTAAGCCAGGAGTGGGCAATAATTTTTGGTGGGGGGCAACTCCAAGATTTTGGAAAGTGGTCAAGGGCCACACTCTGTCATTATATTAATAGAGGAAGTGCGAGGTCTGGGATGAAGGTTGGGTGCAAAAAGGAACTTGGGATAAGGGATTTGGGTGTAGGAGGGCCTGTGAAGTCTGGGAGGTAGTTTGGGTGAAGGAGGCAGTTGTGACCTGGGGTGCAGGGTTTGGGCTGTGACCTAGGGTAGGAGGGAGTTGTGACCCAGGGAAGGGGACGGAGTGCAGTAGGGGATGCAGGGATTTGGGTTGTGACCCAGGACAGCAGATTACAGTGAAGGGATCTGGGATGGGACCTTGGGCAAGAGGGGACTGTGATCTGGGGGAGGGGATTGGGGTGTAGGGTCTGGAAGGGGGCACGGGCTCAGGAGGGGGCAGAGGGTTTGGTTTATGCGATATGGGTACAGGAGGGAGGAAGAGGATTTGAGTATGTGGAGTAGGGAGCAGGGAGGAGGGTGGGGGGGAGGGAAGGACTGGGGTGCCAGAGGCAGGGTCTGGCCAGGAGACTTACCAGTGAGACTCCCAGCCAGCAGCCCAGCACATTTCTTAGGCAGAAGCCTGCCTCGCCCCTGCACAGGCTGCAGGGCCATGTGCTCTGTGAATAAGAGCCTGAAGTGAGGGGGGCATTGGTGCTTCACACGCAGCCTGTTCTTGAAACAGGCAGCTCCCATTAGCTAGAAACTGGCCAATGGAATTGTGCTAGGGGTGGGAAAAGCTTGTGAAGCACCCTACCCCCTGCTCACAGTTTGTGAAAAACAAACAGACTAGCAGCCACTCTTCTGAGCAGTGTTCTGGGGCAGGGCAAGCAGAGGAGCCTGCCTGAGCATCCCTGCTGCATCTGCAGGCTGCATCCAGTGGCTTGGCTGGTGGAGGGTGTTTTGCCCAGGCCTGGTGTGAGCTGTCCCCCTGAAGACAATAGGACTGTTCACATTCACAAATATCTTGTTGATCTGGACATAAGCCACCTCTGGTAGTAGTAGGAGATGTAATGTAAATTCTGCTTTTGGAATAATCTTTGCAGTTTAACTGCATAACAAAAGCAACTCAACAGACTAGGCCAAATTAATCTGTGATTTATTTCAATGACAATGGAATTAATAGCACAAATAAATTTGGCAAATTGTTTGTAGGACTGAAAATAAATATCTTTATGATGCATTTAAGGCTTTAAACTTTAACTTAATTTAGATTGAACTTTTCTAGATTTTTAACATGTAGCTTTTTCATGATGATTATTAAATTGAATAAGAAAAAAATTAAGACAATGTCAAAGTGAGTGAAGTCCAATTATTTTCATGATTTTTTCCACATGCCACTCTTTGTCAACATTATATGGCCAACTCACCAACTAAACCAGGGCTACTCAACATGCGGTCCACGGCTCATTTATTTGTGGTTCGCAGGGCAGTTTGGGTTTATGCAGGTGGGAGCCAAAACAAAAAAATGAGTCAATATAATGGTCTTCTGCTGATATGCATTTTAGTAGTTAAATTCCTAGACTGTCATTGCTCATTAAAAGTGCTGTCATATGGGTAAATTGGGTAAATGTTGAATTTTATTAATATCAGCAGAACTAACTTAAATGGGGCCTGTGTGTTGTATAGTCTTGCCTTAATCTTTGTATTTATGCTCGTCAATGTGAAAGAAGCTATTTGCATATATATTTGCATGCACATGCAACCTCACTTAAATTGCAGCCCTCGGCCTGTGGTATGAGTATCATTGTGGCCTCCAGGGCTTCCAAGGTTGAGTAGCCCTGAACTAAACTATAACACTACAATGAAACAGTTGACCAAACAACCTTCTCTGTGGTTTTCTGCCATTTGAAAAAACTCTACGTTTCTAGAAGACAAAAATAATTCTCTACAGTAGTTTAAATGACTTTAGAAAACCATGAAACTCCATCGCCTGCCTAAATAGAACTCATCTTTCTATTCCTACTTTGCTCCATTCAATATCACATCCACTGCTGTAGTATTCCTACCATTGGCACTCCTGGCACTAGTTCTGTACACAAGCACAGAGATTTTTGAGGGAGTCCCAAAAGCCCGAGAAATCGTTCTAAGATCTGAGCATCAAGAATGAGAATAGTCAAGCACAGTATGTAACATACTCGCATCTCCCAAAAAATTACTTGAGGTAAGACTGTCTACTGGACAAAAATTGAATGATGTATTCATTGAAAAATTGTTAAAAATTGTAATAGTTTTCATCTTACACAAAAATATTACAGGATCTTTACTAATTGAAAAACAATAAGGAATTAAAAACACTTTTCACAAACTTGGGTTAAGATCTCTAAACTATGTTAATTATAGGTAAAATCAACATACATATTTGATATATGCTTGCATGACTTCCTTCAAGGGACAAAGGCCTTCTCTTCTGAAGATGGATGGATTCCACATGGCAGCACGAGCTATCATTACCGATGAAGCTCCTGTTGCTTGTTGGAAGGCTTCAATATCAGTATATTCTTTGATGAAGTCATGAGATCCTCCACTAAAAATGAACATCTTTGTTATAAGCCTCAGATAGGTAGTCTTGTTAGTCTGTATCTGCACAAACAAAGAGAAGTTCTGTGGCACATTAAAGACTAACAGATTTATTTGGGCATAAGCTTTTGCGGGTCAAAGCCACTTTGTCGGATGCCCAAATAAATCTGTTAGTCTTTAATATGCCACAGGACTCCTTGTTGTTTTTGCATCTTTGTTACAATCAACAAGACACCGCCATGCAGATAACAGTGTATTCTTCAGATTGGTAGAGCTGAGCACACATGATACTACAGAAAACTAACTGACTGTCATGTTATTCATTGTTGGTAAAATCTGGGAGAATGGATGGTTTGGAGGATTATTAGTAATGGGATAGGAAAGCCTTCCTTAGTCAGACCAGATCAGTAGTCACCAAAAGATATTAGCATTTGGTGACTGGTAGACAGCCTCTATAAAATGAGATGAGTGATACCAATCCAGTTTCTAGTGGACAATACTCCCTAAGTCAAGTTACACCCCCAATAAGTGTAAATTGACTTAGTTTTTCTAAATAAGTGTATATTGGCTTAATTTTCTTAAAGGAGAAAAGCACATCTTCATTAGCTACACAATATTTTGAAACAGTCAGTTGTTCTGGTAAGAATACTGTTTGGTGGCCTGTGCAAAATGAGTATGAAGATCTCAGTTCAATTCCCAGTGGAAAGGGAATTGAAAAAGTCAGAAAAAGTCCCCCAAAACTGGTATTCCTTGTTGGAAATTGTAGTACATGTTGAACTCACCTTGATTAGCAGCATTACTAACTCTTCCACTGCTTACTGGGCTCTTGGAAGACATTTAGGGGTAAGTTAGAACTTAGAGCCAGACTGGTGGCTGTAAGCAAACATTAAGGGACTGTGGGAAATTTGGCCACACCCATGAAAAGTGGACATCTAGTTAACTAAAATCATGCCGGACCACATACGTGCTAGGCCACAGAATGCTGGACTAGAGAGGTTCAACCCGTAGAAAGGCCAAGCATTGCATGAGTATAGGCCCCTCCAGGTTAAGTCTGAGGCAAACTGGCAGAGGAACAGTGAGTCAAAGCGTGCTCTGCCTCTATCTATGCTGTATATGTTCTACGGCTAGAAAACCTCATTTTCTAAAATTATCAATCTAGCTAATTTTGCGAGCTAAGAAATAATTAAAAACCCTGTTTTTCCCTCCCAACAATTTCCTAACTATAACAGAACATCTGACTCACTTTAAAGGTGGACTGAAACTATAGGTTGAACCTCTCTGGTCCAGGACTCTCTGGTCCAGGGGCTCTTTGCAGGACCATGGATGTTGCTGGACCAGAAAGCCATTGGCTGGGAGTCTGGGGACTGGGACAAGGGTCTGGCAGCTGGAAGAGGAGCTGAGAGCCCGGGGCTGGGAGAGGATCCAACCCAGGGGCAGAGAGCCTAGCAGTTGGAGCCAGAGCCAGCAGCACAGCCCGGACAGGGGTGCGGAGCCTGATGAACTGGGGCTAGATTCAGCATCACAGCCCCACCAGGGGACACAGAGACTGACAGCCAACGCTGGGGTTGGACCTGGCATCACAGCCCTGCTATGGAGTAGAGCCCAGAGACTGGGGCTAAGGCCAACAGCGCAGCCCTGCCAGGGGCATGGAGCCTTGTGGCTGAGGCATGGACCAGACTGGCATCACAGCTCTGCCACAGGTGTGGAGCCTGATGGTTGGGGCTGAGGCCAGCACTGCAGCCCCACTGAAGGGCAGCAGAGTCTGGTGGCCAGGCTGGCAGGCCAGCAGTGGGCCTGAGTGGGGGTGGGAAGCCTGGAGGAGAACCCAGCCGAGTCTGCTGAGGGTTCTTGGGAGAGCCCCCAAGTACATCAGTACAGGGGCTGGATTTGAGCTACCCTGGTTGGGCAAACTCCCTCGTTCGGGACCGATCAGGTCCCAAAGATGCCAGACAAGGGAGGTCCAACCTGTGGTCATAAAAGTTCTTCAGGGATCCCTTATATGAAGAGTAGTCAATTCTGACATACCGAAAGTTACCGGACATTTTGAGAAGAAACCAGAACTCCCACAGCCAAGTGTATTTAGGGGAAACGTATCTAGGCAATAAGGGGCTTGCGAGAGCTGAGGCACTGGTTCAATGTAGGGATGTTAAATTGCAGGAATTTCCATCAATTACTCGATTAGTCGATAAGGGGGAAAACAGGAGAGCCACAGTGGGGTTAGCTCCTAGCTCGAGAGCTAACCACGTTGCAGCTCTGCATACATTTAAAAGGCAGAGGTGTAGTGGTGGGACTAGGTGCAAACAGGGAATCAGCTGATACCTTGCTTGCACCTAGTCCCCCGCTACACTTCTGCTTCCCTTGCCCCTCCTGCCCCAAAGATGGTGCTGGGGGGAACTGGCTTTAAGCTGGCTCTCCCTAGCACCGGCTCCTGCTCCCCTCCCTCTGCTGCCTCTCTCTGATATGCTTATCTGGTAGTCGACTAGTCGCTTAGGGTATGTCTACACTAGCTCGTTAGTTCGAACTAGGTAGGCAAATGAGGGCAACCGGAGTTGCAAATGAAACCCGGGATTTAAATATCCCAGACTTCATTTGCATGTTCCCAGGCGCCGCCATTTTTAAATCCCCCTTAGTCCGAACTCCGTGCCCGCAGCTACATGCGGCACGGAGTAGGTAGTTCGAATTAGAGATCCTAGTTAGTTCTCATTAGTCCTATATGAGGAGACCCTTCATTTCTTGCACGTAATCCCTTTTTGCTCAGAGTTAGGTTTCCTTGGCTTAATGTCTGCTACTAGATATGGATATCTTAAGAGGACCACTGAACTAATCCAACTTACTTCGCTATTACAGGAATAGTGACTGCTTCAGAGATAGCTTTGATCACTTCACAGTGGACAGGATGTTGAGGCCTCTCCTCTTTCTTCCTTTGCAACAGAGAACGAAAAAGACAAAATTCATAGTGGAAATTGTGCATAAATAAACTCTTCCAATCCAGTGGTGATAAACCTAGCCAGTCTCAGTTTGTGTCATATGCAAGATGTAACCTGGTATGCAGGGATGAACACCTACTTCACAGCAAACACTTCTGAAAAATATTGCTATTGTGGTCCCTATGCAGGTTAAGCAGATAATGTCTGAACTGAACAGCTATACACATAACACACCTGAGAAATAAAATCTAGCACCAGAGAATTTGCCAACCATGGGAGGTCAATCTTGTCTAGCAGCATTAGCAGAACTTCCACTGCTTACTGGGCTCTTAGAAAACACTTAGAGGTAAATTAGAGCTAAATAACAGCACAAAGACATCTCTTGGATGGGCTGTTATATTCAACACCCAAATGACATCAAAGGCTAAGTATCAGACACCTATAGCCCACTCTATTAGCCTCATTTAGCACAGACACTTTAATTGACAGAGGTTTTTTTTTTCTTCCCCCTTCTCCTCTTTTTCTGCTTTATATTTGTTACTCTGTGCCTCTGGTTCCATATCTGTCAGCCAAAGAAGTGGGTTAAAGCACAGAACATGAAGAGCCCTGACTGGCAGCTATAAACAAATGTTATGGGACCACAAGACACAGGGCCACACCCGTGATAAGCGGACAACTGGCTAACTAAAATCACACCAGACCACAGATGTTCCCAGACCAGAGAGTGCTGGACTAGAGCAGTTCAACCTGTATTTGGTCTTATTAAGGCTAAAGTTTTAGAACAGTGGTTCTCAAATTGTGGTCCATGGACTACTAGCCACCTTTCAAGTGGGCCGCGGCTCAAGCTCAGCCCCGTTCTTCCCCCCTGCAATGGGGAACCTACACTGACACTCCAGCCTCATGACCTTCCACCACAAGGTTGGAGTGCCAGTACCAGCTTCCCACGTGGCGTGGGGGCAGTCACAGCCAATGGGAGCAGCAAGAGGTCGTGCCTGAGGGAGTAGCTAGGGATGCAAAGCCACATAAGCACTCCCCATTCCCTCATGCCCAGATCCCGCATTCCCATCCCCATCACGCATCTTCCCCACCCCATCACAGACACATTGCACTCCCAGCCTGCTCCTGCACCCTCTCTCCTGGTCAGACACCCTACCCCCAGCCTGCTCCTGTGCCTTTCCTTGTTCCTACACTCTCCCTCCTGGCCAAATTCTGCACTAACCCTTGGTTGTGCACCCTCCCTTGCTCTTGCTTGTGCACTTCTACCCAGACTCCCCACCCTCAGCCCACTCCTGTGGTCAAACTCCTAGCCAAACTCTGTCCCCTCAGACTGTTCCTTCACCCCACCTCCCAACCAGACCCCCCCATCCTCAGTCTATTCCTGTTATGATGGGTGGTTGGCTGGTGGTCCACAGAAAGGTCTGTGTTGAGTGGGGTGGGCCATGGGCCAAAAAGTTTGAGAACCACTGTTTTAGAAAAACAGAAGCATAAAGTTAAGATCCTAATTCTCTACTGTCGCTCCTGAATAAGAAGCTTACTATAATAAAGTACTAAGCACCAACTGCTCTCGCTGAAATCAGAACCACTTCCTTGCAGGTGAACTAGACAAGGTGAAATGAACTAGCTAGTTATAATTTATTGTGCTCTATCTGCCAACAAGTAATAACAGTAATCATAATTCTTTCCACAAAATCATATTTACCGTCCATGGACAGCAATAGCAGCAACACCAGTCTTTTCTATCCTCTTCACCAGCCTTATAGTGTCTTCAAGCTTAACAGAAAAAAACAGCACACACATTTTAGTTTGATAAAGAATTCTTCATCACATGATCATTATACAAATACATGCAGGAAATCTGTCTTCCCATCAAAGTATACACAATTCCCATATTAAAATAATCACACTCACTATGAACATAACCCTAAGTTTTACTTAGAGAACTATTTATTATGGCTAAAATAGGATTCTAGTCATGCCATTTTTAACACTTAGAAATTATACCTAAAGAACTTGTTTGATCTAGGAAATATAACTTTTGAAATGATTTCTCTTCACCTGTCTCTGGATTATCTTAAAAAAGATATAGAAACGCATTTGATTTCCAGATACTATTGCACTGAATATGCTATAAGGCATATATAGTGCATTCTGAATGTTCAAGATATCACTCAAATTGAATGTCAATTCATCCTCACATCTATTCAAGTATGAAATATCCAGAAAGATTTTCCTAGCACATATATGTTGAAAAATGACCCTGTGACTGAATAATTTGGTTAGTAGCCATACATTTAGAAGCCTCATGAAATAAGGGGAAAAAAAGGCCTTCTATTCCTTCAAAGAGAAAACAAAAACCTAACAGAAGATGCATGGAATATTCGCAGGACATTGCCAGTTTATCCAGGTATGTGCAATTATGCACCTTTCAGAAAAAGCAAAGGATTTACTTTCTTTTCAGAAGCTGGGTTAGTAGACTGTGGTTCATCTGAAAGTACCACAGTAGAACCTCAGATCTGCAAACACCAGAGTTACAAATTGACCAGTAAACCACACACCTCATTTGGAACGGAAAATACATAACCAGGCAGCAGCTACAGACAAAACAAAAAAACAAACAAAAAAAACCCAAATAGAGTACAGTGTTGTATTAAATGTAAACTGCTAAAAAAGGGAAAGCAGTATTTTCCTTTTGCGTAGTTAAAGTTTCAAAGCTGTAGTAAGTCAATATTCTGTTGTCAACTTTTGGAAGAACAACCATAATATTTGGTTCAGAGTTACGAGAAACCTCCATTTCCAAGGTGTTCATGATTCTGAGGTTCTACAGTAGCACATTCATCCTTGGGGAGAAGCAGATGGCAGGGAGTTAGAGGCAAAAGCTCACTTGCTTTTTCTGCTAGAAGATACATGAGAGGCAAAACCTGCTTGAAACAAGAAGGAAAAGAATCTAGGACAATAGTTCAAAGGGAAACAGTAATGTGCTAGTTCCCTGATCTAATGATGGGGGAGGCGAGAGTCATGGTGGAACATGAGCTCCCAATGCAATTCTATGGCCAAAAGGGCAAAAGCGATCCTTGAATGCATAAACAAGAAAGTCTCCAGTAGATTATTTTACATCTGTATTTGGCATTGGTACAACCATGGCTGGAATACTATGTCCAGTTCTGGGGTCCACAATTCAAGAAGAATGTGGATGAACAGAGAGGGTTCAGAGAAGAATCACAAGAATAATTGAAAGATATGAAAGTTTGGCTAATAGTGATAGTCTAAAGGAGCTTATTCTATTTATCTTAAAGAGAAGATTAAGGGTTGACTTGAATACACCCTATATATACACCTACATGGGGAATAAATATTTAATCATGAGCTCTTCAATCTAGCAGAAAGAGGTATAACATGACCGATGCATGGAAATTGAAGCTACACTAATTCACACTGGAAATTAGGTGTGTGTTGTTGACTAGGGATGTAAATACTGATCAAAACAGTTAACTGGTTAAACAATTAAAATTATATAAGTTTAACAGGTTAACTGTTGACAGGGGTAGAGCAGTCAGAGCGGGGAGAAGGGTTTTTTTCTCACGGTTGCTGCCAGGTCTACTGCTGTGCAGGCGAGGTCTGGTGCCAGTGGGGCTGCGTCTGGAGCTGCTGGGGCTGCAGCGTGGCCAGTCCCAGGAGCCGGGGCCATGGCCAGATGTGGCTGCAACCTGGGCCAGAATTGCTGGGGTTGGGACCAAGGCTGCTGGGGCTATGGCACCGCCAGTGCAAGGAGCCCAGTTCAGGTCTGGAGCCACTGTGGCTGGTATTACTGCAGTGCAGCCACTGCCCTGCGTGGGCGAGGAGCCACTGTGGTGTGACTGAGTCCAGGGCTGCTGTTGCACAGCTGGGATCTGGTGCTGGGATCTGCTGCCGGGGCTGCTGGCATCATGCAGGTGGGGCTGCTGCCATGATCTGGGCCTGTAGAAGTATGGCTGGGGTCCTGCCTGACTACCATGTGGCCCTGCCTGTCACCCTGATCTGCTCCGATTCCTGCTAGTTGGCTCCATGAGACTGGCAATCTGGTTAATCAGTCACCAAATAAGTATTCCAATAAGCCTACTGCTTACTGGATAACCGGTTAACCAGTTAACCTTTTACATACCTATTGTTAACAGTGAGACTAATTAACCATTAACAACATACTAAGGATTGTGGTCGATTCTCTGACACTGACAATTTTAAAATCTAGATTGGATATTGTTCCCAACAATATATTCTAGGAATTATTCTGGGGAAGCTTTATAGTCTGGGGAAGAGGTCAGACTAGATCATCACAACAGTCCCTTCTAGCCTTAGATCTATGAACATTGCTGAAGATATGCTGATTTTACACATGGTTAGTAATACTTTTTATTAGACAATAAGCAGACAGGGGAGTTTAAGAGGGAGTTTGACAGCAGGAGGCCTATGATGGTCAGGAAGACCTGCAACACCTGTGCCAGCACTGCTTCTGTCTCCTCCACCTGCATTTGTAGCCAGACAGACCGCCAGAGCATGGATGCCTCTACCCAGATCCTGATGTGGTTTTGCAGGGACTGTGGCTTGCAATTCCCACTTTTATATCCAGGCTGGGGGGACCACGTGAAAGGTGCCTGCTGGTGGAATCTCTCAGGCAGCAGGTGGGAGAGTTACAGGAGGAGGTGACTAGGTTAAGGAGAGACAGCTGAGGTAGCTGTCCTAGTACACAAGACTGCTGACACACCACTGGTGGAGGAGGAGATGGCTCAGGGTGGACACTGGCAGATAGTTACTTCTGGCAGCAGGCAGTGCTCCATCCCTGCTCCCAATCCTCTCACCATGGTACTAGGAAACTGTTATGCTCTCCTTGATACAGGAGATAAGGAATCACCCCCTACAACAGAGGAGGAGAAGCCTCGTACCCCCAATGCTGGGAGGTCTGCTCCACCACTGCGAAGAGGAAACATAGGGTAGTGGTGGCAGGAGAATCTTCTAAGGGGGACAGTGGCACCCATCTGTCGCCCTGACGTGTCATCTCGGGAGGTATGCTGCCTGCTGGTGGCCCATATCCAAGACATTATGGAGGCATTATCAAGGATTATCTGGCTCTCTGACTGCTACCCCACCCTACTCATCCATGTGGGCACTAATGATACTGCAAGGTGTGACACCGAGCAGACCAAGAGTGACCACAGGGCTCTGGGAGTATGGGTGAAGGAGTTTGGAGCACAGGTGGTATTCTCTTCAATCCTTCCTGTCAAAGGTAGGGGCCCAGGCAGAGATGGGTGCATCCTGGAGGTGAATGCTTGGCTGTGAAGATGGTGTCGCCAGAAGGGCTTTGGCTTCCTCAACCACAGGATGCTATTCCAGGAAGGACTGCTAAGCAGGGATGGTGTTCATTTTCAAAGAAGGGGAAGACCGTATTTGGATACAGACTGGCTAACCTAGTGGGGAGGGCTTTAAACTAGGTTTGATGGGGACAGGTTACCAAAGCCCATGGGTAAGTGAAGAACATGGAGACTTGGGAGATGGGTTGGAAATGGGAGGGAGTGTGGGCTATAATAGCAGAGAGACAGGAGGGACAAGGCAGAACTGGGAGGCAAGATCAAATCAGTATCCTAGATGCCTATATACAAATGCAAGAAGTATGGGTAATAAGTAGGAAGAACTGGAAGTTCTAATAAATAAATACAACTATGACATTGTTGGCATCACAGAGACTTGGTGGGATAATACACATGATTGGAATATTGGTATAGAAGGGTAGAGCTTACTCAGGAACGACAGGTGGGGAAAAAAGGGAGGAGGTGTTGCCTTATATATTAAAAATGTACACACTTGGACTGAGGTGGAGATGGACATAGGAGATGGACGTATTGAGAGTCTCTAGCTTAGGCTAAAAAACAATGGTGACGTCATTCTAGGGGTCTACAACAGGCCACCTACCCAGGCAGGAAGAGGTGGACGAGGCTTTTTTTAAACAACTAACAAAATCATCCACAGCGCAGGATTTGGTAATGATGGGGGACTTCAACTATTCAAACATATGTTGGTAAATTAACACAGAGGGACACAGACTATCCAGTAAGTTCTTGGACTGCACTGAAGACAGCTTTTTATTTTGGAAGGCTGAAAAAGCTACTACGGGGGAAGCTGTTCTAGATTTGATTTTAACAAATAGGGTTGAGAATTTGAAAGTGTAAGGCAGCTTGGGTAAAAGTGATCATAGAGTTCATGATTCTAAGGTATGGTAGTAGGGAGAACGGCAAATTAGAGACCATGGATTTCAGGAAGGCAGATTTTGGTAAGCTCAGAGAGCTGGTAGGTAAGGTCCCACAGGAAAAACAACTGAAGAGAGTTGGCAGTTTTTCAAAGAAACATTATTAAGGGCCCAAAAGCAAGCTATTCCGCTGCATAAGAAAGATGGAAAATATGGCAAAAGACCACCTTGGCTTAACCAGGAGATATTGCATGATCTAAAAATAAATAAGGAGTCATAAAAAATGGAAACTAGGACAAATTACAAAGGATGAATATAGGCAAACAATACAGGAATGCAGGGGCAAGATTAGAAAGGCAAAGGCACAAAATGAGCTCAAACTAGCTACAGGCTTAAAGGGAAACAAGAAGACATTCTATAAATATATTAAGGACAGGGTAAGCCCATTGCTCAGTGAAGAGGGAGAAACAATAACAGGAAACTTGGAAATGTCGAAGATGCTTAATGACTTCTTTGTTTCAGTCTTCACCAAGAAGTTTGATAATGAAGGGATGCCTAACACAATGAATGCTAGTAGAAATGAGGTAGATATAGAAGTTAAAATTTAAAAAACCCAAGTTAAAAATTACTTAGAAAAGTTAGACATCTGAAACTCACCAGGGCCTGATGAAATGCATCCTAGAATACTCAAGGAGCTGTTAGAAGAGGTATCTGAGGCTTTAGCTATCATCTTTGGAAAATCATGGAAGACAGGAGAGATTCCAGAAGACTGGAAAAGGGCAAATATAGCGCCCATCTGTAAGAATAACCCTGGAAACTACAGACCAGTCAGTTTAACTTCTGTGCCAGGAAAAATAATGGAGCAAGTAATTAAGGAAATCATCTGCAAACACTTGGAAGATAATAAGGTGACAGGGAACAGCCATCATGGATTTATAAAGAACAAATCATGTCAAACCTGCCGCTTTTTGCAGACAAAGTGCGGACTCAGCAAAATGTGGTGGACATTTTTATGCAAATTAGGCACCAGATATTTAAATCCCTGCCTCATTTGCAATGTCGACCTGCCTAATCTGCATCCCTCTGCCGACAGAGGGATGCAGTCTAGACAGACCCTTGGTGTCCACAGATGGGCACTATCAATGGTTCTTTCATGGCTTCACTGTTGTGCTAAACGGTCTGGCAAGCTTTTTCACTTTTAATGTAACTAGATCTTCTCAGGAGTTAGACTCAGCAGTTTGCAGCAGTCACAGAACAGGGATGAGAAAAGGTGGATGGATGGATATTAGGACACAGTGATGCCCCAAATTTTCAGGTGCCCTATGCAGCTGAAAAGTCTGCATATGGGTAAGGGCAGCTCTTCATAAACCCACAGGGCAGGAAGGAACCTCAAGAGTTCATCAAGACACTTAGGAAAGAACTATTGGTTGCACTCATTCAAAATGGGAAATGACTGCCCAGGAAGGAGGAGTACATAAAGGGATGTAGTGGTTATATTGGACCACAAGCTAAATATGAGTCAACGGTGTGACGCTGCTGCAAAAAAAGCAAACAATTCTAGGATGCATTAACGGGTGTATTGTGAGCAAGACACAAGAAGTCATTCTTCCGTTCTACTCTGAGTTGGTTAGGCCTCAGTTGGAGTATTGTGTCCAGTTCTGGACATTACATTTCAAGAAAGATGTGGAGAAACTGGAGAAGGTCCAGAGAAGAGCAACAAGAATGATTAAAGGTCTAGAGAACATGAGCTATGAAGGAAGACTGAAAGAATTGGGCTTGTTTAGTTTGGAAAAGAGAAGATTGAGAGGGGACATGATAGTGGTTTTCAGGTATCTAAAAGGTGTCACAAAGAGGAGGGAGAAAAATTGTTCTTTCTGACCTCTGAGGATAGAACAAGAAGCAATGGGCTCAAACTGCAGCAATGGAGGTTTAGGTTGGACATCAGGAAAAAGTTCATAACTGTCAGGATGGTTAAACACTGGAATAAATTGCCTAGGGAGGTTGTGGAATCCCCATCTCTGGAGATATTTAAGAGTAGGTTAGATAAATGTCTATCAGGGATGGTCTAGACAGTACTGGGTCCTGCCATGAGGACAGGGGACTGGACTCGATGACCTCACGAGATCCCTTCTAATCCTAGTATTCTTTGACAATCTTTCTATTAAGCCATCACCATTCTTGTCTCTCTGTCACGGGATTTTTGCTTGCCTCTCCTGTGCACATGCCAATGTGGCTGCCCCCGCCAGCTCCTGCAGGCATGCTCTGAGCATGCTCTGCCACCTGGCTCCTGCTGTGGTGAATGCGGGAGGCCGCCCCCATCCCCAGATCTG